AAGAGATACACCAGTTGTTACTCTGCAAACTGAAGACATCATAGGAGCAGGACTACAGCTGATTCTTAAGGAGAAATCATTTGGAGTTCATGAAATGGACATACTCAAAACCACGCTGACAAGCAGTCTATTATATGAAATGATAAATTACTAGGAAGAACAATTTCTACTTCAATATAACTGGGAACAGCCACTTAATTCCATCCCTTTGTGCTTTGGTGAATCAGGCCGAACGAGCCGAAGTCTACAAAGCAAAACTATGGACTATGTAATTATAATACTATCACTGGAACAATTTTAAAATGATTTCCATCAAATTTTTAAGTGATTTTAATTTCATTTTAAATGATTAATTTTAAATTTTTTCAACATCGAAATATAGATACAAATGAGTACAGTACTATACGAGGAATTGGGTGATGGTAAAAAACATACGTAATGCATTTAAAATATGAAGCCAATTCATTTCCTTCAAGTACCAATTGCCAATGATGGTTTTGAAATATAAACATTTAGCAACTTGTAATATATTTTTAATATTGGTTTCATCAATGTCTTTTGACCTAAGCTAAATGGTAATGATGAAAAATCGACCATTTGCTTAAAAGCAAATCTCTTATTAAATCTAAAATATTATGGCATAAAATCAAACCACACACACACACAAAAAAAAAACCCACCCCACATTATGTTATCACCCCTGGTTTTCTGAAGAAAAATAATGAAGGTTTTCACGTAGTGTAAATGAAAACGAGACACTCAAATTTACTGAGGCAAAGACAGATTCTATGAAATTAAAGCCCTTCCTAGTACCTTGACTGTAATCCTAACAAGTCACTACATTATTTCAATTAGCAGCATAATTTTTCTAGGGTGAAAACAAGTGCGATTTATTTTGTCATTGTCACTAAAATTTCCTGTCAAATCAGACTCTGATTTGAAAGGCCTGGGTAATTCTGGCCTATCTTAAACTGTAACTTTATTTTAAACTTCCGTATTTTATATCCAATAGAATTTTTAAGTTTACACGATGTACATTCCTCAGGTCCAGTCATATTAAATTCTGATGTTAAGCAGAAAGGGGAAACCATGTGCAACTAGATTAATTTATCTCAAGGGAAAAAGGGCACATTAATAATTGAGATAATGTTTTCATAAATGTTGAAATCAAACGTGCCTTTTCACGTCTTTATTAGAAAACACATTAGAACAAAATTATCTCACTCTCATCAATAAGACCTAATTGCTGAGAAAGATTATGTTTTCTTTGCAAAACATTCAGAAAGATTTTTCTCATTATGGCCAAATAGCTAGAAATATACCATGCATCCAAGTCTTGCTGGAATAAATGTATATAAGCAAAGCGAGTGATTGTTTAATCCATCCTGTCATGTTTTGGTCTTAAACTCTGTGAATTATTTTTTATAAAACACATTAAAATCGGATTCTAAAAGAAACTGACCAAAAAAAAAAAAAAAAAAGACAAGTGATTTGGCTTTTAGTTTGTTAATTTCCTTAAATTACAAAAAAAAAATCACCTGGGCTTCTGGCTTTAAAAAAAAAGAGAAAAAAGAAAAAGAAAAACTCTTAGAATTTCCCACGGATACCCCCAGAGAGCCAAAATATATTGAAGGTAATGGAATGATATTGAACTTTCTTTAAATTGCTGTAGTTTTAAGAACCAGGATTAGTACAAAGAAAATATTAACTAAAAGACGACAGCACACTGACAAAACAAATAAGCTCTCCATGGCTGATCTATGTTAAATATTAAAAAGTCATTTTTCTACAAAAGAAAATAGAGCTTTTAATGATTAAACAAAAGCAGGAACTAAGGTGAATCTGATTGCTTCTGTAATAAGCCTTCATGTGTATAATAAAGCACAGTCATACTAAAAACAATGAACTGTAAACTGAAACAAAAATCCATCATCTACTTGGAAACAGTGACGGGAAAAGATTAGCAATCCATTTATTGTACTGAAATAAAGATAAGTAACCCCGGTAAGATCCATCAGGCCCTGAGTATTGAACTCTAAATATAAAGACATTTCTTCATCAGCAAGTGACTTGAAAAAACGTGAGGAAGAGAGACAATGGTAATGATTCAACCGCTTTTAAGTTTTTAAAGATCTGCTTTATGTCGACCTGATATTCTGGAAGATGTCTAAAAGAATGTGTTTTTTAAATGGGTAATTATTACGTGAGTCATTAAACAATTAGTGCCAAAAGTTTCCTATAGATCTAGTGTGTATTCCGATCACGGAATCTTTCCTAATAGGAAGAATATGATGATGACAATTTTTTCACAAGAGAATTCAGGTTTGAAAGCAAAGACTAACAGTTAAGGAACAATCTGACACTTAGAATCTCCTGTTATAAAGTGAACTAAATTCTAATCGTCATGTTTCATTAAAAAAAAAATCATAATGCTTAAACTTAAAAATATCATAGCTTAAGAAAAATCATACTAATAAAAACCTGAAACCTATTAGAGTAAGTGTTTTATCTTACAAAGGGACATTGGCACTAAGTTACCTGGCCCCACTCTGTCACATTTTATAGGATCTCCCCGGAGACTGATACATTTTGCACAGCTGCAGTTTTAATATCCCTTCAATCCCTGAAATGTTTGCTTATTCTAACTATTCTTACAGATGATAAAAATAAATAGATCATGTTCTGAATTTAGAAGGAGGGATCTGGAGATCATTCAAGCAGGCATATACCCAGCAAGTCTTCTTTCTAACACAGAACCAACTCACGTACCTAAAACAACAGGTAAGATGCACTTCCTATCCACTGAGGTATCAACAACATCGCTCAATTCCCACGCTTCTTATTTCAACAGAATTTTAATTTAATCAAGTACAAGGAAAGGCACAAAAGGAAGGCTCCATAGTTTTCAGTATTAATATGTATCATTATAGTCTATATGTGTAGTGATCTCCGGCCAACATCCCAATCATATCCAAATCCTTTAAAACAAAACAAAACAAAACAATGAACTATGGGTTTGGGTTTTGTTTTTTTTTTTCATGTTTATGGCTTTGTCCCCTGGCACTCTAAAAATAGATGAACTCCAAACCTGTGGCATCAGAGGGTAAGATGACAGTGTTCAATTTTAACATTTGCAGATGGAGCAAATCTGTACCATTGAACGACTGCTTTACCATCTCCTCCGAAAAATCCTGGCAGACCTTTAACTGTAGTGTATTAGAGTTCCTAATAACACTACTGGAACATGAGAAGTGCCTGGAAGTGTTTTATAAACTTTAAACCACACTGGAGGTTACAACTAATTAGTCAGAAACAAAAACCAACTGGGAAATATTTCAAAACCAGATGCTTTGATTATTTCCCACTTGTCAGTTTTTCCAATCCAAAAAGCTCTAACTTCTAACCTGGCTCTATGTACGGAGCCATTTTCTCCTGTCCTGTTTTCCTATAAAAAATTCTGTTTAAAAAAAAACAACAGAAAAAAAGGTGACATAAATACACCCAACGTTTTCTTCCTCGCTCGAGAATCCTATCCTGAATGATTAAAAATGTGTCACTACTTTTCCAATTTAGGAGCGAAATGGAACCTGGGAGCCTGGGCACAGTGCCCCAGCAGATAACTGTGGGGTGCGTAGCCCATGGCTGCCATGTGGCCATCTTGGGCTCGAGGGCTGTAAGCTCATTCGCTTAGCTCCTCCCCCATCAAAGGAGGTTTTATGGGCACAGGCCCCAGCGCCCCATGCCAACCCTCATGGAACGGCTGTGGAGACCAGGTTTGTTTTTCACACTATGTCTCCAGGGCCTAAGACAGTGCTGGCCAGAGTGCTCAGCAAAAATCTGAGTGGATTACTGAGTCCCACGAGTTTTAGTTAGTGGCTAGGAGGCAGCTCACAGCGCTCACGCCCATCCTGACAGGCCACGGAACCAAGTGTATGCGACAAGGTACTGTAGAAACGACCCATTAGTGGAGCCTTAAGGTCCATGCCAACTTGGCTGCTGGCTCTTCAGAGACCTTCTTTTCTGGCTACTTCCACTCCATTGTATTGCCTGGCCTCAGTGAGATTTATATATGGCCCTAAGGGTAAGACTTCTACCACCTTGTATTTCAGAAATCACTCCAAGGGTGAGAGGTGGCTAAAGCTGGTGGTGGGGGGGGTGGATTACCTATGGCTAAGAATCTGCCTCTTCAGAACTGGATCTCAATAATCAACCATAAAGCTTTGGGAGAAATCTCAGATTAACATTTTTCAAATACATGGCTTATTTTTAAATCATTGCATGAGGTAAGATTGTACCACTAAAGTAATATCATTGACTGGGTGATATCAAAGTGCTCCGAGTTTTCCTATGTTTTGATTTTCTGTCTTGGGGAAGACTGCATGATTGTACTTTGTCAGAGAAGAAGCAGAATTTGTGATTTTTGATTCACGATGTAATCTGCTTACTTGGGACACTTTGAAAGTTAAGAAACACGCCCCAGTCTCTCAAGTTCAGCGTTAAGAAAATTGTTTTCATCTGAGAAAAGGAGCCTGACTCTCTTCCTCCAGTTTACACTTATGTTCCTTCTTGCCCAGTGCCCAAAACCATCCTGGAAGAGCTCAGAATGGGACACAAAATTCATCTAGCTTACACCCCAATGCCCCGGCCTCCTCGGCTCTATCACCTCGGCCGGCTTTTCTTTCTTCAAGACCCAGGGAGACCAACAGTCAAATCCATCCCGGCTGGAACAGAGGCTTGCTAAGGGCATCCCATCTTCAGAAACCTGTAGGGCCTGTCTGCCCAGCTGGGTTGCTGCTGGGCCCGGCCAAAGCCTGCACCTCTTTACCGCAGGTGCTGCAGACACCTGGCATTTGCATGACCAGAGAAATCTCTCCTCCACTCCCCTCCGGAGAACAAGGGAGCCTCTCCCCAGAGCTGACCCCCCACCCCACCGAGGGCCAGGCTCTTTGCCGGCCAAAGCTCCAAATGGTTGGCAAGGTGCTGGGCCGCGAGGGACTTACCTCCCAGAGATGCTGCGTGTTCCTCACGGCGCCGGCCTGCACCTTCTCCGGGGGCAGGAGGACGCCCTGGAAGGGCCCGATCCAGGTGCCCTGCTGGATCCTCTGCGCCGCACAGATGCCGTAGGCCAGGCCGGGCACAGTGCTGGTGCACAGGCACACTTCCCGCGGCAGGTCCCGGAGCCACTCGGGCAGCTCGGGCGGGGGCGCGGCGGCCGCGGTGCTGCTGGTGCCCACGAGCCGGCGCAGTGAGTGCAGGGGCCCGTGCATGGGACACTCGCCGTTGCGGTTGTCCGCGCACATGTCGCAACCTGCCGGAGACAGGCGGGAGGGAGGGAGGGAGGGAAGGAAGACGGTTAACGCGCCGCCCAGGGCGGCCCATCCTCGGTGCGGAAAAGCCCCGAGACAACCCCATCCCCTCCCGCGTAAGCCACCTGCCGGGGAGGGGACACCTTCAGGCCACCGAGGCCACTGGGAAGAGCGGGGAGAGGTAAATCTGCACCTCTCCCTTGGAAATCGCCGCACCCAAATCGGCCCAGAAGGGTCGAGCCCCCGGGCGCCCCACAAGCCTGGCGCGCTGGGGGTGGCCGGTGTGGCTGTCTCTGAAGAAGCCCCGCCTGGCTTCCACTCCTCGAGGTGTGCGTCTCTCTCTCCCTCTTCCCTTCTTTCTCTAGTTCCCTCTGCCACTCTCCCCTGTTCCCAGGAGTCCTCAGCTACCAGCTGTTTGCAGGTGTGTTGCTCACTGTGCCGGGAAAAGAGGCCCCAGCTCTTGCTCAACCTGCTGTCTCGAGAGATTCTACTTTGGTCGCCTGGGTATACTTGGTTTACCTGTTTCTGCAATTCTAGAAGATCCTTCTAAAATCACCGGGGCAGGCGGGCGACCCGTCCAGCACAGAGCGCCCTCCCTACCCGCAGGGACGGACCCACCGACCCCCGGTGCCCGGACCAGAGAGCGGCGCCGGCCTTGCCCCCCTGCCCCCCCACCCCGTGGCACCGGAACCCCAGACACCAGCCTCTGAGGGCGCCCTGGTGCTGGGGTCCCTGATGGCGCCTGCTCTGGCCACTCCAGCCAGAGGGGTTCAGGTGGAGAAAGGGGGACTGTTCTGGCAGGTGTGGAGTGCCTGTGCTGGACTGCAAGCTCTTCCCAGAAGCCAAAAGGGAATAAATCGCCAATTTAAGGATGGGGTAATGCTTCAGTGGAGAGGCCCCAACTCCTGCCCAGACGGTGATCCCCAAGGCTGCATGCGATTCTCGGAGAAGTGTCTCGAACAAGGCTCCCGCTCCGACGTTCCCCAGAGCAGCCCGCAGCGCAAGGGGATCCTCACCCTCCCTCTGGGTCGGGTGGCTGTGGACGCCCCGGGTCCCTCGCCTCGAACTGGATGGGAAAAGGCCAGGCGGCCGCGGGAAGCAGGGCCTGCGGCGACCGCACTGTCGGATCGCAGCGCCCTCCGGGTTATTAATGGGCCTGGCGGAGCCGCGGTGTCTGCGCCCCAGCCCTGCCGACCTGCCTCAGGGAGGCAGCCTCGGCGCCCGCCCGCCCGCACAACCCGGCTTCCCTGGCCCAGCCTCCCAGGGGAGCCGCAGTGCACGCTCCCCCCGCCAACGCAACGGAGCCCTGTGGCACCGAGTGTGACGGCAGGCAGCTACGGACGGATGGACGGCAGGAGCTGGGGTACCGGTGCATGCGCCAGCGCTGGGCAGCCCTCGGACCCTCCTAGCACCTGCGCCTGGCTTTGGTTGCTGCCAGGCCTGGGGGCTCGCTCTAAGGGTGCCCCATCCTTGCTAAGACAGAGGAAAGTCCAGGTAACTTTTGGCAAAGGGAGTCACTGAGGAATCTTCAAGGAAGGAACTCCTAAGGGCAACCCAGCCCTGGTGGGGGAACCCTGGTTTCACCATTTGTTTCATCCTAGCTCAGTGCAGGAGGGCTCCGGCTGGCCCTGCCTTCCCCTCAGTCTGCTACTCCCCGCACTCCTCCCAAGAGAGCCCAGGAAATGACAGGACCCTCTGACTGCAGCTTCTTGGAGGGGTCCCCAGGCCCCCCTAGTGAAAAGCGACAACCTGTTTCTACAGGTGGGGAAGTGCCCAAGTCTCTGGACCTCCATCACACAAAAAAAGCCCCCTCTCCCAGTAACACCAACTAATGTAAATACTGTGTCAGGCTCTGCTTTTGACTGTAGGGCCTAGATGGAAAGTATTCCTACCCTTACCGTATGTCACCCCTTCTGGATCCGCTTCACACATCCTCTCAAGCTTCTGACTGTGAAAATGACAAGTTCAAGACAAAGGGGGAAGGGAAAGAAAGATGATAGAAACTCACAGTCACCCAGTGCCTCCACTGTTCCAGACACCTCTCCTGAATCAAATAATCACCACATCATGATCCCCATTTTGCAGATGAGGCAATTTGAGGCTTCACGGGCAATGTAACTAGCCCAAGGATCAGAAACTATAAAATGGTAGAGAAAGATTCACAGTCAGGTTTGCCTGACTTCAAAGCCTCCAAATCTAAAGATCTAGGGAGACTAATGAAAGCTGGGAGAGTTTTATACCCACACTCATCATCAATAGAATTGCAGTATTTCACTGAAAGCACTATTCAGGGGCCACAAAAATTGCTCTAGCATCAGTGAATTACAGAGCTTCCTGTATCTCTCCCCCATAATCTTGAGTTTGGGGCCGTTAAATGTATTGGAAAGTGAATAGATGATGTCCATAATTCTGAATGTTAGCATCTGACCTCAGAGATGACCTTTCAGGGCACCTTAGCAAAAACAGCTTAAAACAAACGACAGTAAGCAAAGGCAATATGCCCCGTAAAAATAAAAATCACATCACTCCAAGGAGCTGCTTAACCCACTTTCCCTTTCTGGTTGGCTCCACGAGGCCTAGGGCGAGAAGCAAGAGCCTTTGGTATTCACTCCCTACCCGTCCGCACCAGAGATCCTGTCAACTTGCTACATCTCCACACCATGTACTATCAGCCCAACTACATCAGTAATAAAATAAGGAGGAAAAGTACCAACTCCAGCCACCGCCCCAGACAGCAAACCATATTTCTTCGCTGGATGAAACTATGGCTAGCACTTTCTCTAAGAAGTCCTCTAAAACTCTCCCCTGCCTGCTAAGTTTCAGTTGTCTCCAGCAGTGTTGAAAAACTGAATAGTGGCATTTTGCCGAAGAAAAAGCTGAATTTCTCCCACAATGTAGAAGAATACCTGTGCCTGGTACAGGTACTCTTTAATTACATGAGTCTTAACTGATAAACCACCTCGTGCCTCCAGCAAAATATTCTGCTGGAGAAGTTGACCAATTACATCCAAATCCATGTTCTATCTTGATGTTTTTTAACACATGAAACCTCTGCCATTGAAAATAACTGGCCTCTGACTGTATGTCTCAGGGTCCCAGAGGAGCTTGAAGATGCTTATAACAAATAAGTTATTACTCAGGGGTTGAGAGAAGTGGCACAGTTAGACAAACATCCTAACAGAGTGTTTTCTAGAGAGGGGCCATAAACACCTCCGAGAGAAGGTCCAAGGGAGCAGCTGGCTAGATGCCCGAACTGCACCCCTCCAAAATGTATTTAACACGTACATTACATACAGCATTCCACGCCAAGCAGTACATAACACAAGTCTATTTGTATGCATAAAGAGTAAGCAAATAAATATTCTTAGGTTATCCTAAAATCTGGGTAATTTTCTCTAAATCCATGATTACTATTTGTAAAGTGTTTTCTGTATCTGTGAGAAATATCATCAGATTCTCCAAGTCAGATACTCTGGAATGCCATTTTAGCATTAGGCAGTATGAGAGATCCTGGTCCCTCCTCTATCCTGAGTAGATCTGTCCGTGCTCCCGTTTATGCGTCCCTGACTAAGAGAAGGAGTTATCACTAGGTTACAGACTTATTCACCTACTGACTTCCGAAGGCCAGGCCAAGTGTAACGAAGAGCAGATTTTCACTCTTCGTGTCATATCCTTGTGTGCTGATTGAATATTTTTCCAAGTACATGCGCGACTTTTGCAATTGAAAACGGACCTATTTGAAGGTAAAGGGGGGCAAAGCAGGCCATGGTTTTCTTTTCTGGTGTTTCATTTCGCGTTCTAGGAAAGGTGAAATTTAAAACGTTTCAGGCCTTTTTTGCTGTCTGGGGAGGCTGACGGACGCGTGTGGTCCCCGGCGGAGCCAGGGCCCGCGGGAAGCCCCCCAGCACACTAGGCCTGGGCTCCCCGACGCCTCGCGGCCTCCTCCGCCCGCCCTCACTCATCCTCTGGAAGGGAAACCGAGGAGCAGCTGAGAAGCCTGCCTCTCCGCCGGGGCGGCAGTAACAGCTAAGCTATAAATCCTCCCCGACCGCCAGGGAGGTCGCGGCCCCCAGTCCCGCAGGCCGAGCCCGGCGGGGCGGGCGCTCATCGATCCCGGCCGGTGAGGCGCCCCGGGAGTGCCGCCTGCTGGCAACGGCGTGCGCGTTCCGGGCGCGGGGTCGCCGGGGTCCCGAGGTCGCCGGGGTCCCGAGACGGGGTCGGGGTGGGGGGAGCAGGCAGAGCGCCGCGGCCCGAGCCTCCCACACCGGGGTGCACGCCTCCCGGCCTCCAGCCGACACTCAGCCCTCGCGAGCCAGCCGCTAGACGGCACGGGGCGGACCGCCAGGCCCAGGCCCGGGCCCGGGCCCACCGGAGGCCCCGCACCCAAGTCCCTGCCTGCCGGCCGAGGGCTCCCCGACGCAACCAAAAATGGCCGCGCCACCGCCCCCACTGCTGCTCGGCCTCCTCCCCCCCACCGCCCCCCACTCCCGCCGCTGGGGTCTTTCAGGGTCCCCGGAGAGGCCCCGGAGGCACGTCCAGAAGGCGAGGAAGGCTAGCCCGGCCACCGGGAAGGGGAGCCGACCGTGGGCGCGCGGAACCTTCTGGAGGACTCTCTCTTAGGGGAGTTTAAAGCTCCCTGCGAATCGCACACGCGCTGGGCTTCCCCCGCTCCTCCCGGCTGCCGGCTTGGCCCAGGGACCAGGAGCGGGAGACAAAAGGGGAGGGAAAGAAAGGTGGGGGGGCGCAATGTGGATTTTATTTGTCTTCCGATGACTATATTAATAAATTAAATGGGAGCGCCAGGGTGTGCGGGCGAGAGAATATTGCGCCGAGATCAACCTGGCCGGCCCCTGCCCCTACGAGGCCGCCATATACAATGCGGAGATGATGAATAGGGGGGCGAGGAGATCGAAGCGGGCCTGGGCTGGCTCCACTCTCTCATACAAAACTATAGGGCAATTAATTGTGGCTTGTCCCCTCATCCTTCATCTCCTGGTGGCACATATCGATGGAGATTACTGCTGATGGACCATTTTATCACCTTAAATAAACAGTCGCCACCTCTTCTAACCTCAATCTAATATATGGCTCTATGTTCAGTTTCAGGGCGCTAGATAACGAATGATGTAAAATAGCTAAATCATGTGTGTTACGGGATGGGGCTGGGCCTGCACACACAAAGAGAGAAAAGAGAAAAAGAAAAATAGAACAACACAAAAGCCCACACACTGACTCCGAGAGCCTCCCTCCCACCAGGGACCGGGTTTGAAATCTAAGTCGCTGGCGGCTGACAGCGGGGACGCTGGGCGGGAGCAGCGGAGCCTGGGCCTTGGTGGCAGGAAGACCCCACTGCGGGGTTACTGGGCTCAGGAGCTCCCCGAAACAGGACCTGCGTTTCCCAACGGGGTGGGAAGAGATTGGGGAAGGTCAGAAAACACTCACCCTCCTTTTAGCGCTCGCTCTCTCTAACTGCTCAACTGGACAAACCCCAGATCTCCTCCTCTCCCACAGTCCTTCTCCCCAGTCTTCAAAAGGGTGGCGCTACCAATAGAAAAGCCCCGCGCCCTACTCCCACACCTGAGCACCTGCCAGTGCTGTTCCCAGCACGGTTCCTTGCACGGCAGGGTTCCCCCAAAATGGAAGGAGGCAGAGACCTCCCGCTGGGGAAGTTGCAAAGCGTCCGGATTCCACGTGGAGAGACCCCCCCCCCCCACGAGGACTTAGCTGCCAACCCCCTCCCAGATGTGCAAAACGAACACCTTCCCTGAAAGGTCTTAAAAGGTAATCGGACCGGCCCCGAGACACTGCCTGGTATCATTCGTACAAACACCAGGGGCGCCCTGTGGCCGCCTTTCGCTACCTTCCAAGAAGAGTGACAGGGTCTCAAGCAAGGCACCAGCTCCCAGAGGCCGAGAAGAGGCCACCGCGGAGGAGCCTGACGTAATCTATGGCTTCAGGCAACCAGCAGCAAATGCGTGCAGGCAGTAATACAAGACGCGGAAGAAAGGCCCCATCCTCCGTTTCTGTTACAAACCTCCCACCGGTGTTAGGGAGGTGAGAAGAGGCAAATAAGCATTCAGAGAGTCAGAGGAAAGTGTACTTCAATGGTGGAAGAAATTAACCCACACAGATAAGAGAAATATATTGGAAGAGGTCACCCTGCCCTGCCTATACAGCGTTTGCTGTTTTTAAGTCTTCTAGGTGTGAAAGAAAGCTACAGGACCCTCCGCTAGGCCTTCAGTGTGGCCTTTGCCAAAGGGTGCCAAAAAAGTTTCAAGGTGAAGCGAGTGTTAATGATTCACACGTGTTACTGGGTTGTTGCTCCCAAGCAAAGAGGGACTCTTCTAAAGGGAAGACAAGTAAGGGGATCCCTTTCTTTGCCTTGTAAGAGAAAGAGAAAATGACTCAACACCCTTTTAAATACAAAGTAATAAAATGAAGCAATGCTGAGTGGTCACTTCACAGAATGCTTTTACAGGGAGGTGGCAAGAACCTAAAAGGAAAAGTAGGAAAATGTGTACGGGGGTGGGGGGAGGATTAATAGATGCTCCCTTCTGGGCAGCCTCCCACCCCACCCCACGTCACCCCTACCGGCAGACAACCTGGGAATGGGGAGCAGCTCTGGTGTCCACCACCTTTCAAGTAACAGACCGACTTCCCCCACCAAGGGGGGACCAAAAGTTTCCCACCCTTTGCATTTGTTTTGTTTTGACCCCCTCGTTAGATTAAACCCAATCACATCTCACTCCATCTTTGCAAAACACATCCCAAGGTTTCCAATGAGTGTGTGCTCTGGCCCAGAGAAGTTTCTGGAAGGATGGCAGGCCCGGCTGGCCAGCATTACACAAAGCTGCCTCAGCTTTCCATTTTCTTTCTCAAAGGCCCTTTAATTAGGCAACGACGTGGAGTGCAACCTCTAATAAGACAATCTGCCTTTCTTTGCCTTCTGTGGTTTCCCCTGCACTTTGCACAGGGAAGCAGTCCAGTTGACTCAAAAGGAGATACCAGAAGATTAACACAATGGGAATAATTTAAATAAATCATAATTCATTTCCTCCGGCCAGAGGAAAATGTTACCTGGATGATAAACTGGCTCGAGAGCCACATATTAATTAGCAATCTATCCCAATTCTTTCTCAGATTAATCTAGGTTTTCCTCTGGTGAAAATGCACTGAACCTCAAGATTGCATTGTGAACAATACAGGAGCTCAGGCCACAGCCAGGGCTTTGGGGTGCTGCTGCTGGCAACTTTTCCAACACTCATTTAATTCAGAAGAGAAACTGCAAGTTTGATGAGGCACTCTCAGCCCACAACGACTATATATCACTTAGCAGTGAGAACTGTCTTTTCCAAAGCATTTCTTGCCTTTTTAATTCACATTTTTTTAAGAACTGTTTTGAAAACAACACATGCAAGAAATTCAGGAGGAAGAGAAGTATTTTTTTAAAAAATCCATTAGGACAATATAATTTTATCAAATTTTCTAAAACTCCAAAATACAAACCTCTTCTTAACAGCAGGGCAAATTCGAGGTGAAACCCTCATTTTAAACCAGTACTTTACCCTCAAATTCTGGAGAGGAAAAAAGTAAATACAACTGCTCTTTTTTTGTTAGTAATAATTATCTCCATCAGAAAAATGATCCCCATCCCTTACGAAAAGACTGAAATACCGCCATCATTAGGCTTGTGTCAAAGTAATGACACTGGGAGTCCTTTAGCTAAAACCTGTAGTTATTTTGCTTTTACAACGAATTAAGAAGTTCATGGAGCGGTAGACATTCTGCAAGAAGGGGCTTATTCAAAATAGAATGATTATACATGTTTATCATCAACTTTGACTCCTGCAGAAACTAAACGAAGGAATGAGACGAAAAGAGCCAAGTGAGCGCTGATCTTTCAAATCCTCTATTGCTTTCAACCTGACTCTCTTCACCTTTAATATTCTCTCCAGAGATCTCTGGAAGTATACGGAGCACTTACACCAATGCCTTAGGTGTAAACATATCATAACTTCTGATACTACCCAAAAGAACTGGGTACACAGCAATACACTTTCTTGGTCTTCATTTAGCCTTTTGTTGCAAGACCTCAAAACGAAGCTTGTACTTGTGAGAAGCGTTTGAAACTCTGAATAGAGGAATCGAAGCTAGAAGAGACCTTCTAGCTCTAAGTAGGCATTTGCCTAATTTTTAAATTAGGTATTTGCCATTTACTCGGCAACAAGGAGAGTACCCTGCTAATACTTAAAAAACTACTGTCACAATCAATAAAAGACAAATAAGTAAAGCAACAAGCGTGCCTACGGTAGGACTGCGAACGTTTTACTCGATCAAGGGTGCACGGAGAACGCGGGATCCGCAGGGAACGACCCTACCCTGGAGTGGGAAACGTTTTCTCATTAAGCAGTTGGCAATTTTTCTTTTCCTCCTTTTCTAAATAAATAGAAGACCTAAGAATAATGCCTGCCTGCAGGGAGAGACAGACCCAGTGTCATCCAAAATTCCTACTCCAGCGAGGCCCGGCCAGCCCGCAGCTCTCGGCCGGTCCCCTGACAACCGCGCGGCCCGAAAACGAGCCGATGTAGTTAACTCCAGAGATCAGGTAGGGAGAAGGAGACACAAGCCCTGGAACTCACGCTCCCCAGAAACGCTGAGGGTCCCTCCCGAGTCCACTGAGGCCAGGCCAAGCCCCCAGCGTGCGCGGCTAGTACCCGCCCGGCCTCGGGGCGCAGTCGCGCGGGAGGGCGGAGATCTGTGTGCCCGGTCCTCGAGCAGCGCGGTTCTAAACACTCCGGGCTGCGAAGCAGGGACCGAGGGGAGTAGAAAAAGGAAACCGTGAGGTGCCACCCGGCCTCCCCTCCGTTCTCTCGCCTTCTCTAGCGTTGGCAAAATTGTGCCACAATGGTCGGGGAGGTGCGGAGCCGCGGCCTGGACCAGCCCATCACCCGGAGTCCCGTTCACCCGCCCCGCTTGCCGGCTGGGCGCCCGCGCTCGACGGCGCCAGCGCCCCTGGAGAGCGCGCGCGGGCCGCGGCTACGTACGGTTGTTGGGGTCGCTGGTGTGCTGGTTGAGCGGGATGATCTCCATGCGCTGCTGGCCGTACAGGTAATAGTCCAGCTCCTCCGCGCTGCAGCGGAAGCGCGGGCCGCCCCGC